AAGTTTCCTTTTCATACACATATACGTCTACTTTATATATATTTATATATATACATATATATATATATTGAATTCGTTGTTCTACTAGACTATATAAATTTGTATTGTTGTTTTCCTATTCGGGTAGGCTTAAGAATCTAAAGCACGCTGTGTGACTGCATTTCGTTGACATGTCTCGTGTGTTGGTTGCAACTGTCTTTGATCACAGGCCTATTCCCGCATTGCGATGGGTCCGCCTACGTAGAGATGGGCGCCACCAAAGTCATCGCAACGGTTTACGGACCACACGAGCCCAAGAGAAAAACTAAGGCCCTGCACGACAGGGCTACCATTAACTGCGAGTTCAACATGGCCACATTCAGTCAGTCGAATAGGAGGTGTGTTGTCTACTATAGCATAATGGCTGCTGTTGATAGTATTCTTGTGTGCGGATCTGAGGTGTGTTGCTTACTATAATATAAAAGTTGTTGTTGATAGTATTCTTGTGTGTAAATTGGAGGTGTGTTGTGTGCGAGTAAGGGGTGTGTAGCTATGGGGAGATTCGCGGTATGTGTTGCAAGTGTAGGTATGGGGTGTAGTGGTAACTGTACCACCCCTCACAGATTCAAAAATTCACACATACAGTACCCACAGATATATACACCTGTACGTGTGTACAGGCTTATAGGGATTCTATTCAGTCATACATATAATTTACATATATGTATACAATCGCATGTTCGAATGCCCACAATCAATACTGTGTACAAGTTTATATTGAATCACTTTCAGACTATAAACCCCGTTTAACGAGCTCAACCCAATTGCCACGGGGAGGAGTTCGGTACGAACAAGCGCAATCACTCGGGTGTAGATCAGTAGGTAGATACTTCTGATTGTGGTGGTAAGTCTGGCTCTTGCTAGTGCAGGCGGTTGTAGTACATTTGGGGACATGCGTGGGTCCCAATATCAACCAAGAGCATGGTTTATCGCATGCACACAATCTATTTATAGCGTGCAGGTTTGTGATGGGCATAGTTTGCACTATCAGAGGTTTTTCGTAGGGTGGTCCACAGGCTAGGACCTTCCAAAAATGGAAACTATCTGTAAGAGATCTTTCGGCTCACAACTTAAATCACTCGGCCACCATCAGCCTTTATATTATCAATACACACACACACACTCTCTCTCTCTCACAC